GTTTGGAGCTACGACTCTTGCGAACTGTCACCCAGCCACCTGTCTGAGATCCCGGCTGCTCGGGAAGCTGTGGGGGGCGGCTAGCTTGGGCTAAGCTACGTCTAGGAGGCTCCACACCGACTACATGGGCATAGCTAACAGGGCTGTTCTCCATGGTGTGGAGCCGCGCTTCTAAGTCTGTGAGCCTCGCCTCCAATGCTGCTAGCATCTGACATTTATTACAAGTACCATTATCACTAAAGGACGCAGAGGAATAACTGAACATGCGACACTCTGAGCAAGAGAAAGGAGGAGAGGAAGAGGGGGAAGCCATAGCTCTCGATTAAGCTACTAGCTTAGCTAGCTTCTAAACTAGCCGACCTAAAGTAGCAAGTTAAATTTGGTAGTTAGCAAGAACTTCTGCAAAACAAGTGCTTTAAGTGGTGCAACTGTATGTTGTCAGCGTGTGTGCTGTTCTGACTACCTCTCTGTCCCAGTGTGGCATCCTGAAGGAGAAACTGGACTCTCTGTTGAAGACTCTGAACGAGGAATCTCGGGCCTCCACTGTCCTCCCCCCAGCCCCTCCCCCCACCATTGCTGAGGAGCAGGAGGAAGCTGAGGGGGTCGTACTGCCTCGTCCTCTCCATCATCATCATCACCATCATCATCATCATCATCCTCACACCCCCCGCTCTCCACGGACCAACACCTCGTCTTCCTCTGCAGTGGCCATCTTTAAACCCAGGGAGCAGCTGATGCTGAGAGCCAACAGCCTGAAAAAAGCCATCCGACAGATCATCGAACACACGGAGAAAGGTATGAAACAGGGACCAGGTGTACTGGCAGTATTACTGTACCAGTGGGTATTAGACTGTGCTGTGTGTTCCAGCGGTGGACGAGCAGAACGCTCAGACGCAGCAGCAACAGGTGTTCTCTCTGGGCCGAGCCAAAGAAGATGAGGGCCTGGTGGAGGAGGAAGAGGAGGAGGAGGAGGTGGAGGAGGATAAGATGTCGCTGCAGTTGTCCTACAGTGCCAAGCTCCGCAACACACGCAGAAGTCAGTAATACTGCTACTAGTGCTGTCACTACTACTTTGTTCCCTTCACAAACCAAACCAGAGCTGATGTCAGCTTCTCCTCAGTGTCTTCACTCCACTGTTAATAAGGTTCAGTACAGCTTTGTGCTCCTGTGGGGTTTTCTATACAGCACCCTGACACACACAAGAAACAGGAAGAAACACTGCACCTCAGGGCACTTTATATAGTAAGATCTAGACCTTACTATTTTCATTATTAGTATGATATTATCATTATTATGGAAAGAAGCCCAACAAACCCCCCTGAGCAAATCAAAAATCAAACCAAATCTGTAAGCTTGAAGAAGAGTGGTAACAAATTCAAGAAGTGTAAATATCCAAACAATTTACACACAGTGTAATGAAACCACACAGAAGAGTTGAGACAGGATTGTTTCAGCTGTAAATATGGATCTTAGCTTTTGAATAAACAAGAATTTTTTTGTTTTCCATATTATTACACTTGAAGATGACACAAACGTGCCATCGAGATACATAACATATTGACACAACTTAGTGTCTCTTCACATGTAACCTAGAGCGGTGTCTTTGTGATGGCCTTTATAAACAGTCTATTGGTTCCTTTTCTCATTAATTCTCAGAAGGTGTGAATCTTTCTGACATCATCTTTGGAACAGATGTTTCTCTGACAGACTGTAAACAAATAACTCAGTAGACTGTGAATGAAAGATGGATGAAAACTGGTTGAAACATGTTTTTAGTAAAATTATTTGAAGTGTAAATGTGGTTTTATAAAGACTAGGAGGTAAATTCTGTCTACACTTTGAGGTTCATGTTTCACTTCAGCTGAGGTGCACATCAGCATTTCTGCATGCTGTACACGTTAAAAACTGTCATGCAGCAGGATTACTGCAATGCTTTAAAACCTGAGTCTAAGGTGTCCCAGCAAAGCCAGTCACCAGTTCCCACTCTTCCCACTGGTCTGACAGCACTGATCAGGGCTCTATTCTGCCCAGATGAACTCGGTCTGCTCTTCAGCTGATCCAGCAGATTTCATCAGCCATGGCTCTGTCCAGTAGTCTGGCTGGTGCTCCCTGTGATTCAGTGTGGGATGAGCAGTGATACAGTTCTGGACACTGAGGAGTCCAGATAGGTTTCATCTCTTACTGTAAATATATCATATTTACATTATGTAATATATGTCTGATCACTGCTCTCTTTGTCCTCAGTCAGTAAGGCACCCTGTGAGAAGTTGATCAGCAAAGACAGCCTGTCGCTGGGCAGCTCCACATCACTTCCAGTTCAGACAGGAAGTAGGGAGAACATGCCCATGCTCAACACAAAGATCCTTTATCCTGGTAAGACGATCTGAGGTCAGAAATGAAGTTGACACACTGTGCATGAAGAAGAGGAGAAACAACTGTTATTGTCCAGGTGTTAGTGCTTATGCTAATCATAACATGTGAACAGAATAAATCAGCTTGTTTTCTGCAGCAGTTTGTTACCAAGTGTCAGTAGTTGGCAGATCTCTCTCAAGCCGTGTCTATACTGCAAGCGTGTCAGTTACATTTTTGAGACATGGCATGTCACATGACCTGAATGCCCCTTATATTAATCAGCTCAGCTGTCTACACTGCCTGTATGTCAGCTTGCGTATCACTTGTGCTTTATGGCTGATGATTGTGGCGTTTTTAATTGTTGGTGTATCAAGGACTGAGTCTCTGCTGGTGTATGATCGCCAGTTCCTTTTGGACCTTCAATTTAAGGGCGGGGATCCATGTGTGCTTGGACGTGACAGATGAGGAACTGTTCCCCCGGTTTTATCGGGGATCCCGGCTTATTTGCTCCGGGCCTCGGCCTTGTTCCCCTGGCGGAACCGTTTCCGTCGGCGGGGGCAGCGTAGTGGGCGGTTGGTGAGACTAAAGGCTCATCTTACATACTCATCGTCTAGCTCCTGGAGGGGCTGGAGACCTTATCCAGGGTCTATGGTGCCACGGCATGTAATGGATCCTAACCATGGCTACCTGGGGTTTGTTGTGGGTGGGGACGAGGGGCCGCGGCCCAGTGGGCCTTGCCCCTCTCGGCTTCACCTGCGTGGGGTGGATCTTTATGCTTTGAAGCCGCTTCGACCGGTTTCGCAACCGGTGATACCTCAAGCCCGGGACCTGGCCAGGTTTGGCCTGGTGAATGTCCGCTCGCTGAGGAACAAAACCTTTATTTTAAGGGACTTTTTTAACTCTATGGATTTGGATCTTCTCTTTCTCACAGAGACTTGGGTGGATGCCGGGGGTTTTAGTGGTTTTACGGACTTC